CCATCGAGCTCCTCGAGCGCCGCTGTGCCTCGTGCTGCGCATACAGCATCGACGGCGAGCGTGGCGCACCCGCGCCCGCAGTGCCCTGCAGCTTGGCCAGTGCCGCATCGTGCTGCACCGCCCTACCCACACTGCTCGAAGCTTCGCCCGCCAACACCGGCGAGCTAGGCGAGCTCGTCACCTGCTTGAGCCCCGGTCGGTGCTGTCCCAGCAGCGGATTGCCCGCGCCGTAGTTGGGCTCGGCCAGCAACACGGATTGGCGCGTAAAGCCGCGTCGGTCTCGCGCCTCCTGGAGGATCTTGCGGTTCTTCTCGAGCCTCCTGGCCTCGGCCGCTGCCTTACGCTCCTCGTATGCGCGCTCCGCCTCCATCCGCCTCGCCTCTTCCTCCCTCGCCTTCCTGTCCTCCTCCTCGCGCTCGCGCGTCTGCTCCTTGAGCCGCAGCGTCGCCACCTCGCGCTCGAGCTGTTGGATGCGCTCCTTCTCCGCTGCGCGGTGCGCCCGGAACGTCTGCAGCTGCGCCAGCGGCACCTCCTCGTCGCTGCTATCGGCTCCGCGCTCCGCCGCCTCGCTCACCTCCGGAATCGAAACTGCACTGCCGTTTGCATGAAGCGTGCTGAATGCAGGTGCGCCCTCTGAGACCGACCTTGCGTCGTGCGACGGCGATGTAGGCGACCGCGGCGAGAGCAGCTGCGGCGTGCGTGGCGCCATCCACGGCGGCAGCCGCTTGGGCTTGCCCGACGGCGATGCGAGCGGCGACTCTCGCGCAGACCGGCTGGAGCTGCGTCGGTTCGGCCCCTCCCACACCGCCGGATCGCTCGCGGACATCATGCGCGAGGCGTGCTTGGTCTGCATGTCGCGCGGTCGGAACTTGCGCGTCGGCGGGTACTTGAGCCGCCTCTCCTCCTGCACCGACGGCAGCCCCGCCAGCACGCGGATCCTCGGCGAATACGACACCGCCGAGCTCCCCCAGGCCGATCCACGTCGTGCTGATGCAGGAACCTCCTGCACGGCGTGCTGGGCGGTCGGGGCAACCACCAGCTCGCCCGGCGCAAACTCGTCGGCAGGCAGCCAAACGGCGGTGCGCGCGAGGTAGCTCGGCCGGTGCGCCCAGGTGATGATGCCGTTCTTGTCGCCCTGCGCGTGCACCTTTTGCCCCGGCTCGAGGCTCACGATGCCGCTCAGCCGGCGACTGGCGGCCAGACCGTCGAGCGATGCCGAAGCCGAGTCGTGCGGTGCAGCAATGGGCGGTTTGGCCAGCGCCTCGGGGCTCACCATCTGGCGCTGGCGCAGCGCCTTGGCGATCTGCTCGGGCGCGATGCCGGCGCTGCCGTACTTGCGCTGGAACCACGAGATCTCCACCTCGTCCTCGATGCGCAGCTTGTCGCGGCGCAGCTTGCGCATCACCTCGGTGCGCGCGAGCGCCACGTGCAGGCTGCGCGAAAAGGCGTGCGTGCTGGAGTGGCCGCGCAGCCTCGATGCATCGTTGATGGACCGTGGGAACTTGATGTCGTCGTTGGCGTACAAGACCTCGCCCGCCGCAATGATTGGGATGTGCGCGCGCGCCTCGGCGTCTCCTGCCAGTGTAGACGCGAGATGTACGTGCACTTTGAGTAGCGTGCAATTGTACAAGGCCTTCTTGGCTGCGCTGTCGAGCCCCGCGGGTCTGACCGAGATCGTGTTGGAGCTTTCGTCTGGGTCGTTGCTCGGCGACATTGTGCGCGCCTTCGCAAACGAGGACGGAAAGCGTGCTGCGTCGAGACCTTGAGAAGCCGTGTTCGCTGCCTCGGGCGCGGGAGATGCGGGGATGGGGGCATGGTCGGCTCGCTCTTGGTCATCGTCGCCGTACTCGTCTTCGGACTCGGAGTCGTTGCCAAAGAGGCCCCTGCGATACTTGCGATGAACCACGACGTAGGCCGGCGCTGGTTTGTCGTTTGCGAAAGTTCGTGCAGCGTCCTGCGTTAAGATCACGCGCCCATCGGACGTGCGGCGCGGAGGCGGTGGCGCTGGCGACGAGAGCGTGAAGCTGGAGGGGCTCGATGTAGCACCTGCGATCTGACTGAGCGAGCTCGAACGTGTTGGTAGAGGCGCGGCTCTTCCACCACGGAAGGATGGCGTTTGCATTTGCATGTCGGTGTCGCCATCGCCAAAGTTGAGCACGGCGCGCAGGAAGTCGGAATCGGCCTCTTCCTCAATGACAGCGGGGATCTCGCGCCGGCTCAGCTGGCTGCCGAAACCAGCCGGGCTGGCCACTGCGCTTGGTAGCGCGGGCAGGGCAAACGCGTTGGAATGCGAATGGATGCTGCTCGAGGCGTGGCCCTGACTGGAGCTCGAGTCGAGTGGGTGATCGCGCGCAGGTGCATCATTGAAAGCGCCCTGCTTCGATTTGGGGCTCACGCCGGCGTAGCTGTCGGCTGGCGTGCGAAGCCGTTCGTGCTGAGCGAGGTTGACGTTGGACGGAAGATTGGAGAAGTTGGCAAAGAAGTCCTTTTGGCCGTTTGCGAGCCAAACCGGCTGAACATGGGGCGGTGTGGTCGGGGTGAGTGGTGGCGACTGAGCACCCGTGCTGGAAGACGAGGCGGACTGGGAGCGGGAGGTGAGGATGGGAGCGGCTTTGAGGTTGGAGCTGGAGCGGTTGAACAGCCTGCGTCCGAGGCCTCGCAAGGTGCCCACGCCGCTCGACTTGGCTGGGGCCGAGGCGTCCTTTGCGCCCTTGGAGTCGGCGCGTTTGCGTTGTGTGGCAGGCTTGGCGTAATCAGCATCGCTCGAGGCGCTGAGTTGGGTTGAGCGGTTGGATGGAGGATCAAAGTCGTTGCGCGCGTGACCACGCGATGAGCCGCTCTGACTCAAGCTCTGGCTCTGACGCATGCTGGCGCTGCCCGACCCTTCGGCATCGTAGCCATCGTTGCTGCTCGAGGTGAAGGATGCGACGCTGCTGTTCTTGCGACCGAATGTCAAAGAGCCCACTCCCGACCGCGCCGGTGGTGGTCTCTGTGGCTGTAGAAACATGCCTGCCAGGCAATCCTTGATGTAGGGTGTCGGTGTGTTTGTGAGCCAAGGCAAGGTTGGCAATGTTCAGGATATTACGATGGTTGGATGAGGTGAGCGAGATGAAGCGGTTGGCGTTGAATGAAGCGGTCGCGGACTAAGCAGATGAAGTGGCGCTGGGTTGGTGGAGAGAGGGTCTATCCGCTTGGAGCGCGTGGGTTTGGGTGGCGACGTGTTTGCTCTGCACTGGCGCGCGCTGGCAAAGGACGACTGCGCCGCTCTATTCCGGTGTCTGGCGCGCAGGTGGTGGCGAGGCGGCGATGTGATTTGATGGTACGAACCGGTGGAAGTGATGATGAAGGAGGAAAGTGAGATGGGTCGACTGGACGTAGGTGGCGGACCAGGGACGAACGCAGCAGGAAGGGCAGGACGGAGGCAACCCGACGCAGGTGCACGCTGCAAGCTCCAATGCAAGGGCAGAGGGGACCAAGCCACAACCCAGTAGAGCAACGGCGCAGAGAGGATGCGGTTCAGGGCGGCGGCGGCGGCGGTAAAGCTTGAGCGAGGATCGAGCTGGACAATGATGCCATTCGAACTTGTACGGCCTGCGGAGGCAAAAAGCCGGAGCGTGCTTTTGCCTAAGCAGGCAAGGCAAGAGGTGCCGTCATGACGGGACAGAGCAGGGCCAGGCAGGGCCAGGCAGGGCAGGAGGCGTACGGGAGCGGTGCAGTGCAAACAGCGGATCTCACGGGACGTCCAAGCTGCAACCCGCCCAGAACGCCAGACGATGTGCGTTGACAGCCGCCGCCGCCGCTGGGCTGAAACGCAAGCGGGGCGGAGGGCGGCAAAGAAGGAGAAAAAGACGAGCTGCAATGCGATATGCAGGACGAGCTCGAGCTCGAGCTCGAGCTCGACCGCACGGCTCCAACCGAAGGAGCAAACGACCAAAAAGAAAGGGAGCGGAATGCAAGACGGATGCAGCGAGGCCTCCTCCCAGTCGACAAGGCAAAGGGCGACAGGGCGACAGGGGCCGGGAGAGGAAGCGAGATTGGGCTTGGCGAGAGAGAGGGTGTTGGATTGAGCGGTGCAGCCGAGGATCTTCAGGTTGCTTTCGGCTGCTCCTCCCATTCCATCCATCCACACTGCTCCAGGGCCCAAGGCGCAGCGTGACAGTCGGGGCGACGTGCGCTCTGAGACAAATTCACGATTGACAAGCCGCTTCGGCCGTTTCCCAGGGTCTTGCCATGAGAAAAAAAAACATATTTAAAAACAAAATTGGTTTGGAAGTTCGCACTCGAAGGCACGTCGATCGGACCTCACCGACCGTCGCGGCCACCATCCGACAGAGCTGATATGGCGCGCTGCTCAGGGGAAGAGGCTCATCGGTCCAGCTTGCAAAGCTTTTGGCCTGCGACCGTGCTCTACTCTCGACAGTGCTCATCCTCGGTTCGACGATGGCCAAGGGCGATGCTCGAGCAAGGCGGAGTGGGCACGTTCTGTCGATCCTCTGGCGATCGCCGCCTGCAATCCTCGCAATCCAGCCCGATGCATCCACAAATCCACAAGCTCAGCCAGAATCCACCTCTGCCTCGCCCAACCGCGGGTTGCCATCACCACCTCTTCCGGCGCTCGCCGCTGCATACTCACTTTCGCGAAGCCATTTAGCCTCTTTCACCAGGTGTCGAGAGCCTAAATTGAATCGATAGTCATTGTCAAGAGGACACGCGACGGCGAGAGGTGCAAAGCGGATTCGATCGAAGGCGCATGGGTGTTCTTGCGAGCTCGACATGCGGCGCGCCCGCATCGCCGCCGCACCCGCCCACCGCTCCGATGACACGCGCATGCAGGTGTCATGCAGCCCTCTGCAGCGAGATTGCAACCGTGCAGCTGCCCCTCCGTTCTCCACTCTTTCCTTTCAACAACAAAAGAAGAAGCGGCGGCCTTTTCGTTTTCCTGAATTTGTGCCCAAGGGTCCAGTCGTTTCGCGCCCAGATCGCCTGTCCCGCAAAACCGCAACGCAATCGTCGGAGCACGATTTTTTTTTTGGTCGGGTCTCAGCTCCCAGCGGTTGCCATCGATCGTGCGCAGCCGTCTTGTTCATCCGGGACACGGCCCTTCCCGGCGTCAGCAGCCTCACATTGGGCCCGTTCCCTCTTCATCAGCCCATCACCAAATGTAACACAATATTCAGTGCGAGCGAAAAGCAGAAAATTTAAACGCAAAAAAAGGGGTCTCCCAAATGCCCATCATCTCGCCACTAACAAAAACGGTGAAAAAAAGAGCAAAAAAGAAATCCAGAATTGTCGACACCCGTCGGATTTGAACCGACGC